AAAATTCAAGTGAAGTATGATTTAAAAAAGTAATTAATTTTCAGCGAATTTAATAATTACATTATAAATGACTAAAAACACAAATACATTGTAAAAATGAGACAACAAATGAAACTTATTTTCAATTAATAAATACTGAAATACTGTAAAGAAATTCAATTCAATTATTTAACTGAGAGGTGAGAGAAAGACTCATTTTATTGATTACTATTCCTCTGCTTTCGTGTCTTATAGCAGGCGTGACAGAGCACCTGATGTCTGGTCATAGTCTCTCCCGTGGGGGACAGTATTTTGATCACCTCTCAGTTAAATAATTGAATTGAATTTCTTTACAGTATTTCAGTATTTATTAATTGAAAATAAGTTTCATTTGTTGTCTCATTTTTACAATGTATTTGTGTTTTTAGTCATTTATAATGTAATTATTAAATTCGCTGAAAATTAATTACTTTTTTAAATCATACTTCACTTGAATTTTAAAGACTTTAAAATCGACTTTTTTTGCTGAATAATAACGCTTTGAATAATTTTTACATCAAATATACTGTATATTATAATTGAAATAATAAATATTAAAATCGCTAATCAATTGGTGATATAATCCTAAAGTCTAAACAGTGGTCTCAAGACTTGCGGTGACCAGTGATGGCACCCAATCGCTGCAGTCGTTGCAGATGTGCTTCGAATAAGATTCGGTTGGACTCATAGTATATGGGATTGGAATCGGAGTCTAATTCTGGCGAATAAATGGATACATTCTGGTGATAGTCACCATTGGATCCGTTCACTATCGTCACGTTCACCAGCGAGCGATGCGGGCACTGGTATTGGTGCTGATGGGCACCCATTGGAACCATCATTGGGTGATGACTGGACGAGATGTCCAACCCATTCATCTGTCCGCCAATGAGCGCGTCGTTCAAATCGCTGGCACTGCAGAGGTATGAGAGATAATCGGTAATCAATGGTCACCACTGTATCGACCACTGAATGGATGGTCACCAGTGATCACATACCCGACGGACATGACATCGATGTGTAAGTTATTCATGCGTTTAGTGACCGGAATATAATCGCTGTCTTCGGGACTACTTCTGTCGCGCTTTCTGATAGACATCGAGGAATACAAATGGACACCAAATTAGACATACAATCGGTGGCCAC